ACCCCCCAAAATCCCAAAGAGCTCTAAACCCTAAACCCTACGCATTCCCAAAAGGAACCCTATAAACCCTAAACCCCAAAGCCCCAAAGAATCCTAGCGCCCCCCCCCCCCCCCCCCCCCGCCGCCCCCCCAACCCCCCGCAAACCAAACAACAGGTCGCGTACTTCAACTACTCACCCTAAACCCTAAACCGCAACGAAACGAACCCTAGACCCTAAACCCTAAACCCTAACCCCCCCCCTTCCGAAAAAAAGGTAAATAAACAACAAGAAGCAACAGGTCGAGTACTTCAACTACTCTGAAGCTGCACTGCTCATCCTGGCGCTGACCATGACGGGGCTCCCTCACCGTACCCCTTAAGGTTGTATTGGGGCGGGGGGGGGTTGGGTGGGTTTATGATTTAGGGTTCAGGGTTTAGGGTTGGTTGGTTGGGGGGGGGGGGGACTGTGGGGGGCTTGATGGCTTGAACTTGAGTTCAAGGATGAAGTGGTATAGCAGAGGTGAGTGCTTTCGGGCATATGCGGGCATAAGATGACACCCCGATCAGTTGTAAACCCCGAACCCCAGAACCAATCTCCCAATGCCAAAACATCACACCCTAAACCCCCCAAACCCTAAACCCCAAGCCCCAAACCCCCCAATTAAACCCTAAACCCCTAATTAAACCTCTTAAGGCCCAAACCCCAAAACCCAAAACCCAAAACCCAAACCCCAAACCCCAAACCCCAAACCCCAAACCCCAACCCCAAACCCCAAACCCTGAAACCTAAACCCTAAACCCTAAACCCTAAACCCTAAACCCCAAACCCCAAACCCTAAACCCCAAACCCCAAGTCCTGTGATCACCAGCAAGGCTCACCACCTGCCTGGTGGCGAACGACCTGCACTGGGCCAGGTCCGCTCTGAGCCAGGTGCCGGGGGGGGGGGGGGGGGGGGGGGGGGGGGGTTAGGGTTTAGGGTTTAGGGTTTAGGGTTTAGGGTTTAGGGTTTAGGGTTTAGGGTTTTAGGGTTTTAGGGTTTAGGGTTTAGGGTTTAGGGTTCAGGGTTTAGGGTTTAGGGTTTAGGGTTTAGGGTTTAGGGTTTAGGGTTTAGGGCAAAGCGGTGTCTTTTGGGGGATTTGCTTCGGCATTTTAGGGCTTAGGGGATGTGGATGGAGGACCTCTGACTTTTCGCTTTTTTAACCCCAAGTCGGCAAAGGTGGATGAGCTCCCGTCTTGAAGGCTTCAGGGCTTGGTAGCCCAGTGGTACTTTTTTTTTTTTTTTTAATGGGATCGCTTTTAAAATATCAACCCAAAACAGGGTGCCCTTATCATAATATGGTTACTGGGCTACCAAGAGGGTGTAGGGTTCAGGGTTATCGGGTTTAGGGATGATTAGGGTTTAGGGATGCTTAGGGTTTAGGGATGTGCAGGGTTCAGGGATGAGGGTTTCAGGGTGAATCGAAGCTTTGAGAGGGTGTAGGGTCTGGGGTTACGGGGTTCAGGGTTTATGAGTTTGGGGTTTCAGGGTGCCTATGTAGATCGCCGCTTCGATCAACGGCAGCATGGTTGCTTATAAGTAGAAAGGTAGAACCTTGAGTGTACACACATGCATTCATTCGAGACCCTAACCCCGAGAAACCCTAAGCCCCTAACCCGCCCTCCCCCCCCCTCCTCCCCAAACCCCCCTAAACCCTAAACCCAAGCCCTAAACCTTGGATGTTCCGCCCCTGAAACTAATAGTCCTTTGTAGGGATTACAGTGGGGGGGGACTATAATCCTTATTAGAGACTGTTAATATAAGGGGGAACATCCCAACCTAAACCCTACAAAGCCGCATCAACCCTAAAAAGCCTATAAACCCCAAGCCCTGAACTGTAGGGTTGAGGGTTTAGGGTTTAGGGTTTAAACCCCAAGCCCTGAACTGTCGGGCGGAGCCAGGAGACGATGATCCTCGTCATTTTCGCCCTGGCGGCCGCCGCGAGTCTGAAGGGGTTTAGGGTCTAGGGTTTAGGGTTTAGGGTGTTTAGAATTTCAGGGTTTCGAGTTTGGAGGGTTTCTGAAAGGGTTTTGGCATGTTGAGTTTTGGGCTTTGAGATTCGGGCTGAGGGGGTTTTGGGGATTTAGAGGCTTTAGGGGGGCTCGGGGTTTGGAAGTTTAGAGAAAAAGGGGTTCATGGGATCTAGGCAAGAGCTTGCCCAACGCCAAGCAACATCCCAAACAACTAGGAGCCCTCCGAAATCCTGTTGTTGGGGTTAGGGTTTAGGGTTTAGGAGTTAGGATTGAGGGTTTAGGTTTAGGGTTTTGGGTTTGCTGCCAAACAGCAATTTTGCCAAGCCATACTTGTACCCCTCCCGCCAAACAACATATAAAAAATATACACACACACACGAAATATGAGGTTCTTAAGGCAGGGCAGGTTCAAGGGGGGGTGTATACACCAAGGTTCCTAATCACTCCCATGAACCCCCCCCTCCCTTAATACCCTATAAACAAACTACGAACTTGCGGGTTTTATGTTG